TTAAATACAGTTACTGTTTGAAAACTCGTATTTCCTATCTTTGAAAAGAGAGAAAAGTCCTTTAAAAATGTCCAAGGGTAGGGCTGGAGAGATGGCACAGCAGTTAAGAGCACTGACTGTTCTTGCAGAGGAACTGGGATCTATTCCCAGCACCCACAGGGTGGCTAACAACTTTCTGTAACTCCAGTTCTAGGGGATCTGACACCTTCTTCTAACCTCTTCTGGCATTGCACAACAGAGGTGCACTTACACACATGCAGGCAATACATTCATACATATAAAATAATAAATAAAATATTAAAAATATTTTCAAGGGCTGGGGAGATGTTAGTAAAGTGCTGTCATGAAAGCATGAGGGCCTGAATTTGATCCTCAGAACCCACATAAAAAGTCCTAGCATTGATGGACATGGTGGTTCACATCTGTAATTCTAGCAGAAGCAAATGGCTCTCTGTGAGTTTGAGGCCATCCTAGTCTACATAGGAGCTCCAGGCAAGCCAGGACTACATAGTGAGCATAGTAAGATCCTGTCTCCAAAATGAAAAAAAATCTTGGCATGGTAGGATGTATTTGCAATCTCAGCATTGTAGCAACATAGACAGGAGGACCCTGGGGCTTGCTGCTCTGCAAGTCTAACCTACTTGGTGTGCTCTAGGCCATCAGGAGTGCCTGCACTTAAAAACAAAACTAGGTGCACAACTGCCTGTAATCCTGTTCCAGGGGATCTGATGCCCTCATGTGGCCTTTGTTTGCAGGCACTATAGGTAGGTGGTGCATATACACATAAGTAAGCCCTCAAGTGTGTGTGGGGAGAGAGAGAGAGAGAGAGAGAGAGAGAGAGAGAGAGAAGAGAGAGAGAGAGAGGAGAGAGAGAGGAACTTTTTTTTTTTTTGAGATAGGGTCACCCTGTAGCCCCAACTGGCCTGGAACTCACTATGTAGACCAGGCTGGCCTCAAATTCACAAAGATCCTCCTGCCTCGGCCTCCCAAGTGCTGGGATCAAAGGCATGCACCACCACACCTGGCTATAAATTAAAAAAATTTAAAAAACCGAACAACAAAGTGCACAGCACCTGAGCTTTTTTTTTTTTTGAGATAGGGTCACCCTGTAGCCCCAACTGGCCTGGAACTCACTATGTAGACCAGGCTGGCCTCAAATTCACAAAGATCCTCCTGCCTCGGCCTCCCAAGTGCTGGGATCAAAGGCATGCACCACCACACCTGGCTATAAATTAAAAAAATTTAAAAAACCGAACAACAAAGTGCACAGCACCTGAGGAACAACAACAAAAGTTGACTTCTGGCCTCTACATGAACTTGCACGCATATTCACAGGTACCAACCCATACATGCAAGCATGCATACATGAACATACACACAAATATTTACAAATCATGAACAATTCTGAACCTAAAATGCTTTTAGACCACTAATATGAAAAGGTGTTGCAGGTATACAATGGCTCTTTCTCATCCTTCAGCTAGGAGTGGAGGATGTATCACTCTCTGAAGCCTAGCTGTTCATACTGAAGTACTGTTGACTCAGTGAGGAAATGAGCATGTTTTGAAATCAATACAGGAATCCCAGCAAGGGCAAAATGCACAGGAACCCAGGGAGGCTATCACATACAGGGAAACGTGGGACCAGGTAGAGGGAGAGAAGGGCAAGTTCCCAAACACAGCTTCTCCAGATCATGAGGGCTATTCACATCCCCAAATGATAGCTCTCAATCAGGACACTGACATCACTGCTGGTGATAGTTCAGTGTTGGCAGATCTGACTCAGGGAGAAAGGCCACTAAGCAAGATACTTTCAGCAACCCTCCTGCTGTGAGGCAAGGCACTTATATCTTCATCAGAAGATTGATAGCCCACCATGGCCAGTTTGGAGAAGGACTTGCTGAAAAGACATTGTAGCTCGGCATCCAAGCCAGATGCTAAGTCCAAAGAGGTTCACTCATGACTTGGCAGGGATGGGCCCTGTAATGGGAGGGGGGCAGACACTAGCTGTAGTCACAGTTGATCTGGCTGGTGCCCTCTTCAAAAGAAACGGAAAATTCTGAATTGTCAACATGTGTGTAACAGCTCAGCTTTGTCTCTTTCAAGAGTCTGTGATAAATTTCTAAGCATTGCTAAACTGACTCTTACAGCATCAACCTGGTAACAATCCACTGCATCAGCAAGAGTTAACATGTACCTAGGGAGATAGAAATCTGTGTTAGAGTAAAGGAAATTCTATGGTCTCAATGTTGGGACAGTGCTTTCTGCACTAAGGAAAAAACTAAAAACACATTGCTTGTTTGTGAGTACTTTAAGAAGTTTAATGCCAGGGCTGGAGAGATAGCTTAGTGGTTAAGAGCACTGACTGTTCTTCCAGAAGTCCCTGATTCGATTCCCAGCACCCAACATGGCAGCTAACACCCGTCCATAACTGCAGTTCCAGGGGAATCAAATGCTCTCTTCTGACCTCCACCGGCACTGCACAACACAGGTGCATTTACATACACGAAGGTAATACAGTCATACATACAAATTTAAAAAAAAACAAGTAAGATATTTTTAAAAATAAGTTTGATGCCTATTTCCCAAGAGAAAAGTTCAGAATTCTCTAAAAAATGAGATCTGGATAGTTCAGTTTTCATCTCTATCCTTTAATTTGTTTCCTCTTTTCTGCAGCCTAGTTACTCTACAGCTACACTGTAGGTGAGCAGCATTGGTTTTGATGGCTTGTGAAAATGTGGGGCCTTTTATTAACTGCATATATTCCAATGGTTCAGCCTATGCTTTTGAGAACAGTCCCTCTAGGGACTACTATACAGGATCACTGTGATCCAGTCTCATCCCTGCAAGGCCACAGGGTAAAATCTTCACGCATTCATTGAGCCAGAATAAAGCACATAGGGAAGGGGCTAGAGAGAGGAAACCTCTTATAGGGCCTGCTTTGACTACAGTCCCAGATCTGCATGTGAATAGGCCTCTCCTCTAAACTCCATAGCTGTGAGCCCAAACTTCAGTGGGTTCCCGCAAGGCAATTCAAATCGAACAGATCAAAATTTCTCCTTCATCACCATTTCCTCAGACGTGCTGTTTTTCTCCTTCCCCTTCCTCACTTACCCTTACCTGTTTCTGCTGCTTCTCTGTACTTCACTCCTCAGTTTCCTCAGTCCAGGGTCAGCCTTCAGTTGCCTCAGCCTGTTCTTGCTGTCCAACTTCCCTCAACTCTGTATTGTCTCTGATTGACCTCTACATGGCTCAAGGCTCCTCAGACTCTACATTGCTACCAGAGTGGTCACGCCCAAAGGCAAACCCCAGTGGCCTTAGCACTCTCCAGCCTCTCTCTGTGGCAAGGGATTAGCACAGTATCAGTGTCAGAGGTGAGGGCAGGCTGGTTGCTTACCTTACCAGCCTTCTCTCTTCCCTTCCATTATGTTCAGGCCTTTACATCTCACACTCCAACTTTGGTGACTTATTGGTAATTTTAGAGATGTGTTAAATAGCCTGTGTGTAGGCCTCAGCATGCTCTGGGCTCTAGAATTTTCCACAGCTTCACCTACACTCCTGCCCAGATGCCTGCTGAGCTCCTCTTCACCTAACACCCCTTCATACAGGTCACCTCCTACAACACAAGAGAGTCACCTCCTTCCTTCCATCATAATACTTCTGACCCTCTCCTATATTACTGTGCATGTTCACAAACAGAAGAAACACAACAAAGCCCATGCACAGCTTGCTATTTACATCTCTGTCTTGCCTGCATGGTAGGTTCATTAGAAGCAGAGACCAGGTGATACTCAGCTTTGTAAGCCTGTCTAGCATGCTGTACACCCAATAAGCACAGGCTACTCTTGAAAAGGATCCTAAAATGTTTTCAGCTACCAAACGAAAAGTGTAAGCCCTGTACACAGGCTTGTCATCTCCCTTGTAAAATCCAACTTGACTAAAGACATCAATGGCAGTGTCTCTGTCAGATGGTGGCTCTGAAACTGGGACAACTGGAATATCTATTTCTCTCTGTTATAAATTTAAAGACCTTCATTCAAAAACAAAAAGTTATGAATGCTTTACGCAGCCGAACACAAAAATTGCTCAATACCATAGTATCCTCCAGTGGGAAAGTTAAACAGTCACTGGCAGAGCTGAGGATGTAGCTCAAGGGACACTCACTTGCCTGCTATGAACAAAGTCCTGGCTTCCATTCCCAGCAACACACAAACATAGGTTTTAACATGTATACCCTACCTATCCCCAAGGAGAAGGAATAGGCCCCTGTCTGTTATATCCTGCACCCCCCCCCCACCTCCTGTACCATTCTCTGCACACTGAGTGCTCAACAGACCACTCCTGGCTCTGATAATGAAGGAGACTGACAGGGATCCTGCACTAGTAGAAAGACTACAAGGTAGGAGGTAACATCCCTGACAAGCTAGGCTAAAATGCAAGAAAGAGACATATGAAAGTTAAATTCTTGCAAAGCTGCAATGAGATAGGGTCAGTGTGTCTGTGATATAGGAGGTGGACCAACTCAAAACAATCTGTCCATGAACACACAGCTACTGAGGGGCAGAGCCAGCATTTGTACCTGAGCTAAAAACCCCCATTCTCAACTTGTATTCTAGAAGTCAAATAGTTTGTATATCAAATTCTAAAGAAAAAAGTTAAAACTGATAACCAAAATTTTATATGTCCATTCCCACTGGTCTTTTAAAAACTATGTAAGGAGAACCTTTTCAACTGTATTTTAACTTTGCAGTGATTTAGAACTCACATGAGTGCAGACTGCCCCAGGTTCAACCTGGGGTTTATTCCATATGTACAGTATATGAGGTGTTTCCCTCAGAACTTCAGTTTTGCCTCTATTAAACTCAGAGAGTGTTCTGTTATTTAGGTGAATATGATACACGTAAAAACCTGACAGAGATGTAATCAATACCAATGCTAGGAAACTAACAGCAATTAAAGTGAATAGGAGAAAATCCCTCACAAGCAGAAAACATTACTTACAGAAGCCAGCAGTCGTCCATCTTCCTTCATAGCAAGGTAGCGGTTGGCACACACTCCCTTGATAGACACAACGCCTCTCTCTTCTGCTTGGAGCTGCAGTTTGACTGTAATAGGGAAAAATTATCTTTGTGACACCAGAGAGCAAAATGGCAGTTCCACAATACCCAGAACACACATACACACACACACACACACACACACACACACACAAACACATACACACCTCCAAGCAAGGTGCTAATCTAGTGTGCAAGTCAGCAATGTGGGAAAGGAGCTGGGCACATGTCACTTGAACCTAGCTAGAGAAGACAGGATGGAGAACCTTTAACATGCCTCTCCCTTTCACACCTATGGCACACAGAGGACAGAGGAGGGATAAGATGGAGAACAATTTCCCATGCCTAAACATTTTTAAAAGTCACATTTGGCCAATTTTTCCAAACAAAAGGCATTCCAGTTTTCACTGGTATATTTTGAGCTCTCTTTCCCTGATTTCCTCACATCCATTTCTACCTTATCTTTCAGTATTCTGATACATTTCTCATTCCTTATGGAGGGATTTTATGTTTAGTTCTTTTTATAACTATCTTGTGGAAACCTAACAGGCTCACACAAGGTATGTTTATACAGTGTGACCTGTCACACTGCATATAGGAATCAGATTGCAGGAAAAGAAAAGTGCATTAGTTTATTATGATAATGTGATTTGGACAAATAATTACCTAATTAATTGAAAATAAAATGAAATTAAACGTTTCTATTTTGCTATATGGATTTGCATTCATCTGCCAGAATGACTTTCCCCAAACTGTATAAGTGATGAGGTCAAATAAATGTAGTGAATTCTTAGTGAAGTCAATGGAATTCATCACTTTTCCCATCACCACAACAAAATACTCAAAAGAAGCAACTTAAGAGAAGAACACTTTCTTTTGGCTCAGGTTTTTAGAGGGTCCAGTCTCTTCTGGCAGGGAAGGCATGGTGGAGCAGTTCAGGGAGCAGGCGCCAACACTCCTCCCATCTTGGATTTTGAAATAATTACTACAACTGTTAGAGATGCCTATGTCACAGTAATTATGTTAAGCTACTTTTTCCTTCCAGGAAATCATTATGTAGACATAATATATGAGATTAGATTTAAAATATTTTGGCAATACAAATATTTTTATGAAGTATCAAGATTGATATGTTTCAATATTATTTGAAACACGAATTTCACAATTCTATTCTCAGTTTTTGTTTTCAAGAGAGGGTCTCCCTGTAGCCTCAGCTAGCCTTGAACACACTATATAGACCAGGCTGGACTCAATCTCACAGAAATATGCCTGCCTCTGCCTCCCCAGTGCTGGGATTAAAGGCATGTGCTGCCACACCTATCTTATTATCAGTATTTCTTCTTTTTTTAAAAGAAAAGTACCCTTTTATTGAGAGGTATTACAAGTATATCTACAATATTCAATTGTTAAAAGTATATTATCAGTATTTTTATGAACATTTGAGAATTTACATAGAAAAATAAGATCTTAGAGTTTTTTAAAATTTGTTTTTATTAATTTTTTATTATTTTTATTGTATTTCATACAGAATATCTCAAACAATCTGAATCATCTTTATAGCCCCATCCCCACCAGCACCCTCACACAGCCCTCCCCACTGGAACCCATATACTCTGCCCTGGGTGTTAAGGCCCACTGTGTCAAGTCAGTGTCTCCAGACATTCCCCAGTACAAGTCCATCCACCTGCGGTTTAGTCAGAGCCCTCTCATCTTCTATCTAAACACCTATCATTTTTCTTTTTTCTTTTTTTTTAACAGAGCATAGGGTGTGGGGTTATTTACAGAGGACTAGATGCCCTCCATTTACAGCTGCACTGGAAAGTCCACACTCAAATATAGATCCTGAAACTTCCCGACAGCCACAGAAAATGGAGAGAGGTGCCTCCTAGCATTCTCAGCTTATATATCCTTAGCCCCTCCCCCGCATGCTACTAAGGTTGACTGATTGGGTGGGAGAGGTAACTGACTCCCCTCTAGACTCCTTGATGAGCGTGGGAAGGAGGTGTGACTACAGCTTGCTGGCATACTGGGCAGAGTACACTTCCAGTTAACACTCCACCCCTTCTTCCAGCTCTTACATTCTGTCAACCTCTTCCACAAAAGTCCCTGAGCCTTAGGGGGGTGGTAGGTGTGGGATGATCTTCCTCCTATTGTGGCAAGGTACTGAACTTTCAGGTCTCTGCATCTTCAGTTTTCCATGGACTGTTGGCCCATTTCAGTGAAATTCCATCTACTATAAAGACACAAACAGCAAGAAGCAAGAACATCTAAACAGTGGCTGCTATAACAACTTAACCTATGGGTGTAAACACAAATGCTTGGACAATAGCAGGTGCATCACATCCATTTAACAAAACAATTGCAGGGGCTGGAGAGATGGCTCAGCAGTTAAGAACACTGTTCTTGTAGAAGACCTGGGTTCAAATCCCAGCACCCACATGGCAGCTAACAACTATCTGTAACTCCAGTTCCAGGGTATCTGACGGTCTCTTCTGTCCCCCACAGGCATTGCATGACACGGATGCACTTACCTACATGCAGGCAATACATGTGTACACATAAAATTAAAATAAATAATAAATAAAATATTTTTAAAAAAAAAACAATTGCAGTGGCTCCCCACTGGGGCCTATGTTCTCCACTGCCACAGGAGGTTGGTCTGGTCTATAGTACCAGATGTGTACTCCGCCCCTAGGAGCAGGCATTTAATCAAATCGAAAATTTGCTGGTTGAACATACACTAGATGCCTCACTATTGCACCAGCAGGAACATCTTGTTTGGTATGCTGACAGTGCAACACGTGGGGCACATCATAGAGCAGAATTATAGGGGATGATTTTCTCCCAATCATCTGCATATTGCCTTTTGGCACCATGAAAGCCACCCATGGCAGGGAGTTTCCAGCTAGTCCAAGCTTGATTTCTCCCTCTCCAGGAGTCACATCAAGCAGTACCTTCAGCAGTAGGGTCCCTCTGTTCTCTTCTGGTGTACAACAACATTGTTGACAATGGCCTTTATTGTTTTGGGGACCTCCAGAGAGCCGCAGGCCAACAGCTCATGGCGGGGGGCGGGGCAACCAACCTCTGGCACTGGGATTTTCATTTAACAACCATATTTCTTCTAGAAGGGCTTTGTTCTATCCCCATAGGGTTCCTTCTGTGCTTGAGGCTTTATTTTATTTTATTTTATTTTATTAAACTGTTTATCTGGGGAATTTTTTCCCCTTTATTCCCAGACTTTTTTGTATAGCCATCCTTCCCCCTCTCATCCTTTAACTACCCGCTTTTTACATATTTCTCCCATAGTAACACATTTATCCAACTATTCTTTTCTCTCAGGTTCCTTCTTTCCTTCTTTTCCTGTTTTCCTTCTTACCTTCCTGTTTGCCTTCCATATTCTTGGTTGCCACAGATGCATCAGGATATGCACTCATTTATAAGGATTTGGTGCTAGGATCCAGAAATGAGGGAGAACATACATCTTTTGCTTTTCTGAGTCTGTGTTACTTCACTTAATACAACAGTTTTTACATCCACCCACTTACCTGCAAATTTCATTATTTTATCTTTCTTTACTGGTGAAGAGAACTCCATTGTGTAAATATACCACATTTTTGTTAACCACTCGTCAGTTGAGTGGTGCTTAGGTTGCTTCCATCTCTTAGCTATTGTGAAAAGAGCAGCAACAAATATGGCTGTACAAGTGTCTCTACAACAGAATGAGTCCTTTGGGTATATGCCATGGAGTGGTATAACAGGATCATATGGTAGGTTTATTTTTAGTTTATTAAGAGTTCTCCACACTGTTTTCCATAGGGGTTGCACGAATTTGCAATCCCACCAGCAGTGAATGAGCATTTGCCTTTCTCCATATCCTTGCCAGCATTTGGTATCATTTGTTCTCTTGACTAACCAGTCTGACTGGGGAAAGGTGAAGCCTTAAGGTGGTTTTTAGTTGCATTTCTCTAATTCTAATGCTGTTGAACACTTTTAAAGATGTTTCTTAGACATCTTTATTTCTTCCTTTGAGAGCTCTCTGTTCAGATCTTTAGCACAATCTTTTAATTGAGTCATTTGCTTTCTTGCTTTTTTGTTTTTTGAGTTCTTTATATACTGTCAGATGTGTCACTGGTGAAGATTTGTTCCCACTTTTCTTCACTTTTTTGATTGTTTCTTTTGCTGTCCAGAAGCTTTTTAGTTTAATGAGGTCCCACTTGTTGATTGTTGACCTTAATTCCTGAGCAACTGCTGTCCAATTTAGAAAATCCTTTCCTACACCTATATCTTGTAAGTTACTGCCAATATTTTCTTCTAATTGTTTCAGAGTTTCCAGTTTCACATTGAGATCTTTGATCAATTTGGAGCTGACTTTTGTGCAAGGTGAAAGATAAGGATCTAGTTTCATTCTACAGGTGGAGACCCAGTTTTGCCAGCATCATTTGTTGAAGATTCTGTTTTTCCTCCATTGTGTGTTCTTGGCACATATCAAGATTGTCACCTGATGTTTGACAATATCAGGTGGCTGAAATTGCGTGTACTCGGGTTCGGGATTTCAATGATGTTCCATTGATCTAAGTGTCTATTTTTGTGCCAATACTATGCTACTTTTATCACTATAGCGCTGTAGTATACTTCGAAATTTGGTATAGTAATCCCCCCAGCATTGCTCATTGTGCTCAGGGTTGCTTTGGCTATCTAGGGTCTTATGTGCTTCCATACGAATTTAAGGATTTTTTTTTTTTTAATTTTGTGAAGTATGTCATGGGGTTTTTGATTGGGATTGCACTGAATGTACATACTGCTTTTGGTAGAATGGTCATTTTCACAATATTAATTCTTCCAATCCATGAGCATGGGAGGTCCTTCCATCTCCTGGTGTCTTCCTCAATTGCTTTCGTTAAAGATTTAAATTTTTCATTGTAGAGATCTTTGATGTCTTTGGTCAGGTTTATTACAAGATTTTCTTTTTTTTGAGTCTATTGTGAATAGGAGGATTTCCCTGTACTTTCTCCAATTGCTTGTTATTGGTATATAGAAAGGCTACTGAG